GGCCACCATAAATGTCGCCTGTATTATTAAGACCATCATAATGATCGCCTGTATTATAAAAGGCCATCATAAATGTCGCCTGTATTATCAAGGCCATCATAAATAATGTCGCCTGTATTATCAAGGCCATCATAAATGTCGCCCTTATTATTAAGACCATCATAAATGTCGCCTGTTTATCAAGTCCATCATAAACGTCGCCTGTACTATCAAGGCCATCACAAATAATGTCGCATGTATTATCAATGCCATCATAAATGTCGCCTGTATTATCAAGGCGTTTCAAATGGAGCAGATTGTATCAAGGTGAAAAGGAATGAGAACTACTGTTTAGGAATATTTTCTTAATAACGAGTCATTTCCCTTTGTCTGTAAAAAAATTATTGTTGAACTTTAACACGTCGAATATAATTGTATCGTTGTACTGATCGCTGTACTTATTATTTAGACCATCATAAATGTCGACTGTATTATGAAGGCCATCACAAATAATGTTTTATTTTAGTATTTTTATATCTTAAGTTTTTCTATATCTTAGAAACAGTAGGGTCGCTTGTCTTATCAAGGCCATCACAAATGTCGCCTGTATATTATCAATTATCAGGTGATGCAAGAAAAACTTAATAATAAATAAAGAAAACAAAAAAGGAAGAAAAGAAAAAAATGATTGAGAAAAAAGGAATAATGCTGAATCATAAACATGATTACGCTGAGGTTCATGACGCAGAAGAAAAATGAAATGGCTATTTCTGATAAAGAAGAACTATTTATGTGTCAGTCAAATAGTTGACCAATGACAAAATAATATGGTTGAGCCTGACACGGCCTGTACTTGACGGACATTTTAAATAAATCCGAAGCTGTAAGCGACTAATGTTAAGACAGTTTAACTAACTTAAAATATGAATCTGTCTGCACCTAACTTAAAATATGAATCTGTCTGCATCTAACTTAAAATATGAACCTGTCTGCATCTAACTTAAAATATGAACCTGTCTGCATCTAACTTAAAATATGAACCTGTCTGCATCTAACTTAAAATATGAACCTGTCTGCATCTAACTTAAAATATGAACCTGTCTGCATCTAACTTAAAATATGAACCTGTCTGCATCTAACTTAAAATATGAACCTGTCTGCATCTAACTTAAAATATGAACCTGTCTGCATCTAACTTAAAATATGAACCTGTCTGCATCTAACTAAAATATGAACCTGTCTGCATCTAACTTAAAATATGAACCTGTCTGCATCTAACTTAAAATATGAACCTGTTTGCATCGAACTTAAAATATAAACCTGACTACATCTAGCTCAAAATAGAATCTGTCTGCATCTAAATGCTTTCACGAATAGTGAATTATTTTGTTATATCTGTTATCAATGACCAATTATTTTGCTCACCTAACATATATACATGTATGTATATATGAAAGTCAAAATACTACTTTGATTACTTTAAATATACTTTGCTCTTTTTACGACAAATAATTTCACTATAATTAAACGCTAAATTTGTTAAAGTAAAACACATCTAAATTAATCACGCTCTTAAAACTCATGTTTGTCCTTTTTAAATAAATATACAAATATTTGTTTCTGATGTATGATGTACCTTTAAGTATTATCCTGATCATAACGAACCATACAACATATTTGTACTTTTTTTGCTATATAGTCATGTTTCAGTGGGAGTATGAATTTAACAACAATTAAAGCGTTTTGTTTCTTCTAAAACACTGTTTATACGCGGCACATAATTCTATGACAAGTTTATATTTTGTTTAACTATTTTACAGAAAACAGAATTAAAAACAGAATCTCGTTTGGTTCAGTATGCATGTCTTACGTTCATGTTTTATAGTTTAAATATAAAACGGTCTCCAACAATTTATCGTACAGATTTTAATCAGAAAACAAACGCAAAGATCAAGTTTTCACATGAAGTCTCGATCTACAATTATTGAGTTACGTCACTTTAAGCCACACTTAACTAGCAATATATCCTTATTCCTGGCTGTGTAAAATATTTCTTTGGCCTATTTTAAGGGAAAAAATGTTCCTTTGGCCAGTTTAAAGACAAAATCATATCAATAAGATTTTAACAAAAATCTTCGATTTCGATATCTTCGTTATTATCATAGTATTTAGGTCGTACATTATATCAATAAAGGGTTAGATGTAAGAAATACTGTTCTAATTAATGGACTTTTTTTCGATTTTTCGATAATTTTGGACAGAAGTTAAGCTAAATAAAACACATTTTACGCACTTTTTGTAAGTTATCTTTTTTTCTTGAAAGTTAAGGTTTTTTTCTGTATTTTAATAAAATTGAAATTATGTATATTGCTGGTGTCTTTAAATGTTTATTATATATCACGAAGAAGGCAATTGCTCTTACTTTTTATGACTGCTAGGTCATATTCATATCCGGCAAATTACGGAAACCTTTTAAGATCATATTAAGTTAGTTCTTTGAACTAATGTATAAAATAACGTTTCCATACTTTGATCTTATGTTAAGAAGCAATGATTTTGACTAAATGCTTAAAAACTTAAAACCCAACGTATTTGTGTGACATATTTCGCCAAGTTTCCTTACATGTCAAACATTATGGCTATTTTTGTCTACACCATTATTGAGTATAGCATAGCTTTTAAACAACAAACAATTCTTGAGCTGCTTAAGTCCTTTTCATACGCATATCTTTTCTCCAAAACTTAATTATTACGACAAATTGTAGGAAGATACAAACTTCAGAGAAACATTTACAGTTAACGTTTCATCGAATTCTGTGTAACATTATAAAAGTACAACTGTCGATGTCGTTTCCAACTGTTGTCTCGATTCTATATCCAAGGATACGGTATATGTTTCTTGTATATAATTATGCGTTCCTGTGTACTTTACCAAAGTTCCAACAATTAAAGGTAACACCAAGGTAATTATAATCTTTTTTTGTTTTGTTTTGTTTTTGTTTTAAATTCGGCAAATTTTATTCCTTTAAACAGAAATGCCATTTTTATCGACAATAAATGTAAATAACGTTCACTTTTCCTAACGTAATAGTCTATGATTTTGCAATTTCTATAATTTTTTAAAAAAAGGTTACAAACATTTGCTTAAGTTACATCATCATTATGTCCATCGTTCCAACAAACATGTACATTAAAACTTGTAAATGTACATAAATATGTTTAGAAAAAAAATAGTAATTACTCGTGACAAACATATCAGAAACCCATTCGTGTTTAATTGATATAACTACAAATATAAGCATCCGTACAGAAAAGTTCAATAACAATTCTGAGGTAACCAATCTTACAAATGTTTAACAATACTCGAACGTGTTTAGTATCAAACCCCATCAGGATCAACCCGTTTTTTTCTTAAGCAAGCAACTTTACAATCATGCATTGCTTTGTACTGGTTGGTCCCACGAATGGATCCGAAAGAGTGTCTATAAGCTTACAGCTTTCTACAAAATCTAACTAGAATAAATTGTGTATTAACCAACAACTGAACATTACTACGGAAGCGTCCTGGTGCCAATTCATAATGTTCTATAGAAAAAAATAAACTCCTACGTAGGAGATAAAAAAAAGCTTAATTAGGAGTTTGTAACTCCTACGTAGGACTTTAAAACTCCTACGCAGGACTTTCTAACTCCTACGTAGGAGATAAAAAAAATGCCTAATTAGGAGTTTATAACTCCTACGTAGGACTTTTAAACTCCTACGTAGGACTTTGTAACTCCTACGTAGGACTTTATAACTCCTACGTTGGAGATAAAAAAAGCCTAATTAGGACTTTGTAACTCCTACGTAGGACTTTATAACTCCTACGTAAGAGATAAAAAAGCCTAATTAGGAGTTTATAACTCCTACGTAGGACTTTTAAACTCCTACGTAGGACTTTATAACTCCTACGTAGGATACATATCAAAGTACTGAAAGCACAGAGTTCGACGGACATGTATGCTAGATAGCATATTTATGTAGGAAAATAAATTATATGAGCCGCGCCATGACAAAACCAACATAGTGCATTTGCGACCAGCATGGATCCAGACCAGCCTGCGCATCCGCGCAGTCTGATCAGGATCCATGCTGTTCGCTTACAAACCCTATTACAAGTAGAGAAACTGATAGCGAATAGCATGGATCCTGATCAGACTGCGCGGATACGCAGGCTGGTCTGGATCCATGCTGGTCGCAAACCCACTATGTTGGTTTTGTCATGGCGCGGCTCATATTTGTCAAGTTGTAATTGTGGCAAGCCGCTATAGTAAATACCTTTAGTCTGTAGCCAGAGATGATTTTGTCATTCTCTGTATATATTAAACGATGATTTTGTATTATGTACGTTTAGTTATATTTATTATACACATGTACACAAAATGTATGGGTTAAACTTTATTCAAAGTAGGATATACAATGTAATTCATTTTTAAACATATGCATGCATAATGCTCCGCAAACCGTTATCTTCTTGAACTTTACGGAGCAGGAACAAGACACTTCACTACTCCCCCTGCCCCCTATAAGGATTTAATCATTTGAAACGGCCGAAAATGGATAAATTGCTCGTTTTGTTCAGCTAGTTCGTATGGAAAACGTAATCTTTAAAGCCTTTTAAAATTTTGATATATATACTTGTTGTCGAATAGCTGTAAAGCAATTTTTTGGGATACATCGCCAATGCTTACAGACACCTCACCCTAAGATTCTGTACACTCTAGAAACCTTAGACACTTTATTAAAAGGTGAAGTGTGGCGGCATGGCCGTGTGACTAGTAGCCTAATGATCGCTAGCCGCATGGGTTCAAACCCCGTTAGGCGCAAGCCGTTGTTTCCTTGAGCAAGAAACTTTACACTCATAATTATTGCGTACGTACTGGTTGGTTCCAGGAACGGATTCGAAAGTGTGTCTATAAGCTTATAGCTTCCTACACAATCAAACTTAAATAAATTCTGTATAATTCTGTATATATTGAAAATTTTAACATTACAATGTGAAAGATTTCCCCTTGAATTTTGTTTATTGCCTCAATTTAGAAGAAAGTAGTCCAGCAAGACATCAGTAAAAATACGGAAAATATGTTTCACTGAAGTGAAAAAGAAATTTTACAGTGAAAATACAGAAATCAAAAATCATCAATATTTCATTTATATGTTACATGTACATTATAATTGATGTTATTTAAGGTTCAGCATTGACAGCAAATAGTTGACTTAAAATCTTATTTGTTTTCCTTTGCTCTTCAAGAATCTGTTTTAACACTTGCGTTTGGTCTTCTAATATTGACATGATTTTATCCCCATCATCATCAGCATCTGAAAAATACAAAAAGTACTTAAGATTGTTTATAAAAAATGGTTTTATTAAACGTCTGCCCTTTGTTTTATGTGATATATGAAAATATTAGTTAATTCTTTCAGAAGTGTGATTAATATGTGGTATGCCAAAAAGTTTAACACTGTATAGTTTCAGTTATAAAAATGGTTTGTGTTAACATTGAATAGTTTGGGCTTTGAACTTTAAATGAAACAAAATAGAAATAAATAGTTTGTGCAAACAAATGTGGAACTAAATATTATAACATCTGAAATTTTTGTTGCATGCGGGGCATCCGTGGCGTGACGACACATTTATAGTTGTTAATGTATTTGTCAAAATATGCATGCTACCTGTATGTTCAGTCTACTACAAAGTAATGGCAATTCAGGCTAAATTAAGTGACCAATACATGACCTTGCAAACTTTTTTAGTCAACTTTAATAACTTAATTTGTCAATTTTTCTATAAATGTGGTATTTTTTGGGATCAAAGTATCATATTAATTATCTAGATGTAACAGCCTACAATATAAAGCCATGCATATTCTTATTAATATTAAATCTTGATTTCAATATAGACATCATTGTAGTTCATTGGTATTTCCAGAATTTAATATGGAATTGGCAAATACAATAATTTTATTGTTTGCAAACATGCATCTTTATTCTAACAAAACATTTAAGATTTTGAAAATGAAATTCTACCTAGATCTACTGCTTTTTCTTTTTTTGTTACTTTGGCTGTATTTTTTCGCATCATTAACATTGGCAGATGTTCCCTGTAACGTTCCCTCGGATGTTTGGTCAGTAAAGATTGGTCTTTCGTCTGTGGCAGCTGAAAAATAGTTGAATCACTTTAAATACTTAATACTTACACCGGTGCTAGAAAACTCTGTCTTGCACCTAGTCTGGTTCCCTGCCTACTATTCTACGATGACGTAGTAACAGGGGCAGGTAATCCAGACTGCACCCCCGATGTAAGACAAGTCGCGTGCTTTAAGTGACGTCATTGACGCGCGACTTATATGAATGAATCGCGTTCTTAGGATGACGTCATTTTTCCGTTATGAATGAAGTTGTATGTTCATACGCTACTATAAGAAAAAAGTGCGTAATGAGAATATCAGTTTTCATAATTTCTGTTCCGAAAGAAATTGACACGTAATCATATGCAAGAAAAAGAATCAAACACCGGCTGTTGGTACAGACGGGAATATCTAGCTCTCGGGAAACTGTTTAGCGGAAACTCGGCAAAGCCTCGTTAGGTACCGCTGTAAACAGTTACCCTTGAGCTAACACAGCTTTCTTTGCTATTTGGCAACTATTACAGTTAAAGTGAATTACTACTTTGTTTACATTTTGCTATATTTATGACAAATTATTTCACTTCCAGTGCATCTCTCTTCGGGTGGTACATACAAATTGCTAATATGCTTTTAAATTCATTTTTACAACATTACAAAACAAATTTTGCTCTTTTCAAAATAGAGACAAATATGTGTATTCATTTGTGAGGAATAGTATGCCTTTGATATCTTCTGAAATATCCGAATTAAATTTGATAGAAAACTATGGTAACTTTTATTTTCACATATATATTTGTAAACAAACTAATCCAATCTTAAAAAAATGCTTTCACTACTGAACCATTTCATTGTTATCAATAAGACTGACTAATAAATATTACTAGGAATGAAAATCTACTTGTCAATTTATGCAAGAAAATAGTTTTCAAATATCTCTGTTAGAAAGTTATTTTATAGTTACCTTCTCATCCTGTTCATTTAGTATAGGAGCAGGGCCACCGCCTGTTGGTGGAAAACTGTCTTCTCTCCCTCACATTCTTCTTAATAGCTGTTTTCATATCTGACAGCTTTTTCTTGATTTCATCCAATGTCCGTGTCTCCTTGCTTTGTGCATTTATCCTGATTGCAATATATAAAAATACACATTCAAAAATATTTCAAAAATCTCATACCATAACATATCAGAAAACTGAAGCAGATTTATATTAAAACTAGCTTTAAAGTTAGGTAGAGTATAAGGGAACACTAATCTTTTACTTGATTGATATTTAACAAGGTAATGTATTTTCCTTTGATATGTTTACAGGGATTTTTTTGGCATATTTTATACCCGTTATTGGGTCATATTCCCAACTGAAAATAGTATATTATTTTCCCAATCTACTGAAAAAAATTCCCAATTGAAAGTTACAAAATAAAAATATTGAACAAGATTCTAAAATCTTTTAAAATAAGGGTTTCTTCACTTTAACCAGTTCTATCGTTGTAGCAGATGACCCATTCGTGTTTAAATATGAAAATATTTTGATAAAGTGTTTACAGGGGCGTATCACGTTGGGGGACAGGATCTGACATCCAAGCGTCTGTGGATAAAACAGCGTTTTGTTTTGCTGCTTATGCATGTACCAGTGTCTATTCTAGGATTTGAAAAAGGGGGGGGGGGTTATTGAAAAGTGAGAATTTATTACATTTGTTGATCTTTTCCCTTCTTTGTCTATGTAAAATTTTCCCCCTTCCTCTCAAAAAATAGGGGTGAATTCTCAAAAATAGGGGTGAATCCCCCATCGCCCCTCTGCATGTACAATGATAAGATAGACAGTATTAGGATAAAATTAAACAAGAGGGCCAAGATGGCCTTTATCAGAGACGTTAAAATACATGTATATTATATATCTCTGCCTTTATATCGCTGAACCTAGTTTTTGCAGATAAGGTACGAAAATATGTAGTACGAATTAATGTAAGTTATCTCCCTTTAAAATGTAAACCATTTGCAACACGTTTTCAGATTTTTGCATGAAAATCATTTGAATAAAGGACCAAAGAGGTAATTTCAAACAGTAAAAATGTTAACATTATTAAGGTTTCCTTGAATATGTTTTACTGTAGCGAGTTGATTGTGTTTTTTTTAGGTTTTACTGACAGATAAAGTGATAAAGTGACGTGACAAAAGTTTCAGACTTAGTGTCATATATTTTCGCGATTTTCAAGATTATTTCAGAATGCAGAAATTTTCTATATTTTTGTAAAACTTGTACAAATGTGTTGTGTAATTATTGTACTGGGATCCTTTATATTACGGGACAAAATATGATGTTTTCAAATTTGCGCTGTTACTTTTGTTGAAACCGTAAAACAGAATATTTTTACCCAGTTTATTTTGGGTTCTTAATAGGGTAATGTAAAGATTCGCCACACTAACGATTCGCCACATAACAATTTGACACAGAGTAATAACGATTCGCCACAGTTAAATAACAATTGGCCACGTGTTCAATTACAAACGTTTCCAAACTGTTGATGGAAAACTTTTTTCCTTTTCCTGTTTTTATATTCATAAATTAATTACACTAAATACAGTTTTTATTGAATAAAAACACACGAAAACCAAATATTTTATAATCAATATTTCTTAACACATTTTATAACTTCGTTATTTACATCAACTGGAAAATTATACTAACAACTTCAGTGGTTTTTTTTCACATTTTGGGGGAGAGGGGGCATGTAGTGCCCTTTGGAGCGGGAAAATTCTATAGAGGGGGAATTTTATTTGTTTACTCATTTTATATTGTTTTCTTGTTACCGTGAAAAAGGGGAGCAACTCTTGCAACACAAGTTTAAAAAATGTCTCTTTTTTCTTAATATACGGATCTAAAATATCAATGCGTCGCATAAACTTGTTGGGACGCTGGGAGTAGCTCCCCTTACCTACCAGAGAACGATTTGTAAACAACCTTGCTTAACAGTAACTGTTACAGGCATTAAATAAAACATTTTTCGGCTGTTAGTTGCATAAAAATGATATTTATTGCACGCTGCAATATAGGGGGAAATGTAGGCTTTGAGGGGGGAAAAAACATACTATGTTGAGGGGGGGGGGGGGAAGGGGGCCGAATTTCCCAAAATATTTTGGTGAAAAAAAACACTGAACTTTTATAGAATAAAAACACATGAAAATGAAATGAATATTTTATTAACAAAATTACATAACACATTTTATAACTTTGTTATTTATATAAACTGGAAAAATATAATATTATAACAACTTTTATAGAATAAAAACACACAAAAATAAATATATTTTATTACTAAAATTACATTACACACTGTAGATAAGTTAAACTCCGTTATTTGTATAAACTGGGAAATATAAGAAAACAACTTTTATTGAATAAAGACACATGAAAATAAATATATTTTATTGCCAAAATTACATTACACATTGTAGATAAGTTATTTATTCTGTCGCCTCTACGGAGTAGTGGCGACATATAGGGATCACTTCTCCATCGTCTGTCTGTCCGTCTGTCTGTCTGTCAGCACTCACAGGAGAGTAATTATGTGGCTAGAGGGACAATAGGTAACTGTTCTTTCTCTTTGATGTCATTCATTCCGTAATGCTTTTATGCGGCTATTTTCTTTTGTGTGGCTAAAAAGAACAATAGAGAGCAATAGAGTAGCCACATAATTAGTAATTACTGTCCTGTGAGAATGTCCGTCTGACCGTCTGTCACAAAACTTGTCAGGACTACTCCTCATAAACTGCTTGTGCAATTTCATCCAAACTTTACAGGAATGATCAGTACCAAGTCTAGTTGTGCATATTGTCAGCATTTTCCGGTTCAATGATTTTTGTAAGAGTAATGGCCCTTTAATAATTTTTATTTTTAAAGTTTGTCCGGACTACTTCTCTTATACCACTAATGCAATTTCAATGAAACTTTACAGGATTGATCTGTAGCTCAAGTCCTTGCGCATATTGCACATGTTTTCCGGTTGAATGATTTTTGGCCGAGTTATGGCCCTTTGATAAAAAGGTGTTTTTTTCTGTGTGTTGACAGATCTATACACAAAAGCTTGTCCGGACTACTCCTCATAAACTACTGGTGCAATTTCATCCAAACTTTACAGGAATGATCAGTACCAAGTCTAGTTGTGCACTGTCCGTCTGTCACAAAACTTGTCCCAACATGAAATTGGCTATCATGAGGCGACACATGTGATCACTGATCGCTCTTGTTTTGTCAAATAGAAAAATTGTTGATAATAAATAAACAGGATTAATGCTAAGCTCTAGTTAAAGAACTATCAGGATTACAAAAAAATATTGCTTGTTTGTGACCTAAACAATTTCAGCACATTCAGTGCTTTGATTTATCTCCGTGCAATATTAATGGTATAAAAGTAAGATTTTGTGGATTTTTTTTAAAATATAAAAATCAGCCATCTGAATTTTGTTCATGATATTTTTAGCTCACCTGTCACAAAGTGACAGGGTGAGCTTTTGTGATCGCTTTTCGTCCGGCGTCCGGCGTCCGTCCGTCGTCCGTCGTCCGTAAACTTTTACTTTAAATGACATCTCCTCATAAACCACAAGGCCAATTTCATCCAAACTTCACAGGAATGTTCCTTTGGTGGTCACCTTTAAAAATTGTTCAAAGAATTTAATTCCATGCAGAACTCTGGTTGCCATGGCAACCGAAAAAAAAACCTTTAAATATCTTCTTTTAAAAAACCATAAGAGCTAGAGCTTAGATATTTGACATGAAACATCTTCTAGTGAGTGTCTACCAAGTTTGTTCAAATAAAAGCCCTGGGGTCAAAATTGGCCCCGCCCCGGGGGGTCATTGATTTTCCCTATATGCATATAGTGAAAACTTAAAAAATCTTCTTTTAAAGAACTCAAAGATCTATGGCTAAGACATTGAGCATCAAACATGTTCTAATAGGTGTCTATCAAGTTTGTTCAAAGAAAAGCCCTGGGGTCAAAATTGGCCCCGCCCCAGGGGGTCATTGATTTTCCCTATATGCATATAGTAAAAACTTAAAAAATCTTCTTTTAAAGAACCAAAAGAGTTAGCGCTAAGATATTTAGCATGAAACATGTTCTAATAAGTGTCTACCAAGTTTGTTTAAATAAAAGCCCTGGGGTCAAAATTGACCCCGCCCGGGGGGGTCATTGATTTTGCCCTATATATGCATATAGTAAAAACTTAAAAATCTTCTTTTAAAGAACTCAAAGAGCTATGGTTAAGATATTTAGCATCAAACATGTTCTAATAGGTGTCTACCAAGTTTGTTCAAATAAAAGCCCTGGGGTCAAAATTGGCCCGCCCGGGGGTCATTGATTTTCCTTATATGTGTATAGCAAAAACTTAAAAAATCTTTTTTGAAAAAAACCCAAATAGCTAGAGTTAAGATATTAAGCATGAAACATCTTTTAGTGAGTGTCTACAAAGTTTGTTCAAATAAAAGACCTGGGGTCAAAATTGGCCCGGCCCGGGTCATTGATTTTCCTTATATGTGTATAGCAAAAACTTAAAATCTTCTTTGAAAAAACCCAAATAGCTAGAGTTTAGATATTAAGCATGAAACATATTCTAGTAAGTGTCTACAAAGTTTGTTCAAATAAAAACCCTGGGGTCATAACTGGCCCGGCCCCAGGCGTGTCATTGTTTTTAACTATATGTGTATAGTAAAAACTTTAAAAAAATCTTCTTTTAAATAGCCCAATGAGCTAGAGCTTAGATGTTTAGCATGAAACATTTTCTTATGGGTGTCTACCAAGTTTGTGCAAATAAAAGCCCGTGGTTGGGGCGGCCTATATACAGGTGAGCGACCTCAGGGCCATCATGGCCCTCTTGTTGTTTAATGTCACCGATTATTTAAAATAACCATTTATTCACTACATATGAAATTATATATTAATTGTTTATCAGAGAGTGAGAATCCTCAGCAACCATGTGTCAAACAGCGTCAATATGACTAGGAACAGATACAATGAAAAAAGAAAGCCAAAAGAGTGCAGCAACAGAAGGAGGAGGGATAAAAACACATGAGAGAGGAAGAGGAGCCTCATAAAAGACAGCTTGAAGAACTGTATAACAAGCAAAAACATGCAACACAAGTGTCTGCTGCCGTCAGCAGGAAAGAGAAGAATAGACAGAGGCAGAATTTTGAGGTGATGCATGGCGTATTGTTAAATGATCTGCCAAAACACTCATATCATTCAGAAAGGACAAGATTTCTTGTAAGTTTTAACCGGTATTTTTCAACCTACCTAAATGCTCTTATCTCACAAAGTGCTCAGAGGTGAGATTTTGAGATGGCAGTGTGTAATTCTTTTGTGGTCTTTCATTGTCCACAATTTCTTTATTAAAAAATGATGTCTTCTTCTAAACAACTTGATGGATTTTGACCACATAGCCTAGGTTCCAGTCTGTAGAATTTTTATGTGCTTCTGTTTCACGGTGCATATCCATATCGGTACCCTCTTTGCGAAATCTGCTGAAACGGTACCCTCTTTGTACATGCACAGGCCACTCTCTGCTCAAAACAAACCAGCGATGGATAACAAGCCAGTAAAAATTCATTGTTATAAGGAAAGGAGGTATGACACGTGGAAAGGATGTATACCACGGAACACAAGAATGTTTTATCCATGTGCTGATTTGTCATGTGCCTGTTTTTCATGCACTGCAACCTCACAATAAGCTACAAAAGCTCGACATGTCTTGCTTCGCCCATCACCTCGACATACTTTTCGGGCTGAAATGAACCTGTGGCTTGATTATACTATGCATCATACATATTTAGTATGTTCATTTACATAATTATCATCTTTGGACAAATGGCATTACATTGTCGAAAATAACTGTAAAATTTATAAAAACACCCTACTTTCAGTTTTGCAGCGGCACGGGCTACCTTTCTTCGTTTGAATTTTTATATCACAGGTACCCACTCATTTTTTAAAACATTATTCATAGGTACCCTCAAGGCATGACATATGCTTTTATTTGCGTTAATCGTTAAGTATGCAATATTTACATAAAAGTAAGAAATATTACATACCTTACGATTAACGCAAATAAAAGCATATGTCGTGCTTTGAGGTACCCTTTTGTAAAAAAATATGAGAGGGTGTCTGTGTGTTAAAAAATTCAAATGAAGAGAGGTACCCCGTGCCGCTGCAAAACCGAAAGTAGGGTGTTATTATTAATTTTACAATTATTTTTACGATTTACAGCCATTTGTCCGGAGATGATATGTAAATGAACATATTAAATATGTATGATGCATATATAATCAAGCCACAGGTTCATTTCAGCCCGAAAAATATGTCGAGGTGATGGGCGAAGTAAGACATGTCAATTTTTGTAGCTTATTGTGAAGTTGTAGTACATGAAAAACGGGCACATGACAAATCAGCACATAGATGAAACATTCTACTGTTCCGTGGTATACAACTTTTCTACGTGATATACCTTCTTTCCTTATTATATTTAAATTTTACTGGATTGTTATCCATCGCTGGTTTGTTTTTAGCAGAGAGTGGCCTGTGCATGCGCAAAGAGGGTACCGTTTCAGCAGATTTCGCAAAGAGGGTACCTTTATGGATATGCACCGTGTGTTTGGCAAATGCTACATGAGAAATATCTTAGGTGACTTGGTCTTTGCATTTAAATTTTGCAGAGGAAGAGTTAAATTAATTTTACAATACAAGTCTATATAAATTAAGTGGCCCCCATGGCACAACAAATTTCTACCCCAGGAGCATGATTTATTTTACTTTTATAGAGAACTATAGATGATGCTACATGTCAAATGTCTAGGCTTTGGGAATTGTAGATTCTGATTCATGAGTAGATATTTAAAGTTTAAGATCACATCTATCTATGTTTAGCTTCTGTGACCAATTTATGTATCAGACTCCTGGAAACATTCATATATCATTTGTACAGGACAACCTAGTCTGGGATTCAGGCATTGATATTTTTTGCTTTCTGAAATTCTGAAATATTTGCCACATTAAATGTGTATGATACACATGTATTATAATGTTTTATATACATGTATTTTATTGCAGTAAAATTTGTTAAGTATTTGTTAACCACTTTGGGATTAATCAACAATTATATTAAAGAGATTTAAGCCACTTGCCTTCAGATGGTAAAATAAAATAGAAAATGAAATAGAATTACAATTATTTAACGGTAAAAACTGGTGTAGTAAGGTTTAAGGTACTGACATCTTCTTACCTGAAACCAGTGGTTAAAATAAATATACAAACGGGCTTGGTGTTTTTAGCTCTACTATTCGAAGAATATGAGAGCTATTGTAGTTGCGACGGCGTCTGCGTTGGTTAAAGTTTTGTAAAGTCAAATATTTCAATTATTGCTTGAGATATTCAATTGAAACTTACAATACTTATTTATAGTAACAATGTACATCAGTTTGCAAAGTTGCATAACTCTGCCTGCAATATTTGCAGAATTATTTGCCCCTTTGAAACTTAGAAATTTTGGTTAAAGGTTAAAGGTCTTCAAATATATTTACTTGAAACTTTACACATGTACTTAAGGTCATAATTAAAGGTCACATCTCAAGATTCATTACTCTGCCATGTATTTTGACTGAATTATGCTCCCTTTTGTACTTAAAAATTCTCCTTTTCTTGGTTAAGTTTAACATGAAAGTTTTGCATATCTCTGAAACTCAATAACTACCAGAGATTTTGATTTGAAACTTCACATATGCATTTAGGGTCATAATTGTAGGTCACTGACCAAGTTCCATAACTCTATCCTGCATTTAGGCTGATATATCTCCCCTTTTCTACTTAGTCTCTTGGTTAAGTTTTACATATCTCAATAACTATTAAAGATATTTATTTAAAACTTCCCATATGCATTTAGGGTCATAATTGTAGGTCACTGACCAAGATCCATAATTTTATCTTGCATTTAGGCTGATTTTTCTCCCCTTTTTCAACTTAGAAATTCATGGTAAAGTTTTGCTTGTAAGCTGTTATCTTGGGACAATTTTATGCATTCATAATAATAAAGCAGTGATTTACTTGATTAACATCTTAAAGGCCCAACTGGACTATAAAAGCCAGCAGATGGCGCAAGGGCAGGTTTCTTATTAATTTTATGCATGCTTCACTTCAGGGACCCTTTTTCAAAGATTTAAGATTAATTACCATATGCATTAAAACAACACTTGGCATGTTTGTAGGCATAGATATTTTTGATAAAGATTGACCAAAATTATTCAAAATATAACTTTGTAAAGTGTATTTCTGGAAAAAAATACTGGCTGTCAAATTTGAAATTTGAATTTCCCTGGGAGGAGCCATGTGATCATTACAGGTCATGAACCTTCAGTAGTAAACAGAAGCACGTGGCAGTGTTTATTTCAGGGAGAGAGATTTGTAGCAGACAGACGACACATTGGAATGCTGAATACATGATAAGAAAAAAACAACTTTTACTGACTTGCTTTATCAAATCCAACAAATTTACAATAATCCATTAAAATATGATTTGTTTTGTGTCGCCTCTACGGAGTAGTATAGGGATCACTTCTCCGTCGTCTGTCTGTCCGTCTGTCTGTCTGTCCGTCTGTCCGTCCGTCACAAAACTTGTCCCGACTACTCCTCTTAAACTACTAGTGCAATTTCATCCAAAACTTTACAGGAATGATCAGTACCAAGTCTAGTTGTGCATATTGTCAGCATTTTCCGGTTCAATGATTTTTGTCAGAGTAATGGCCCTTTAATAATTTTTAATTTTAAAGTTTGTCCGGACTATTTCTCTTATATTACTAATGCAATTTCAATGAAACTTTACAGGATTGATCTGTAGCTCAAGTCCTTGCGCATATTGCAAGGTTTTCCGGTTGAATGATTTTTGGCCGAGTTATGGCCCTTTGATAAAAAGGTTTCTTTTTCTGTGTGTTGCCAGATACACAAAAGCTTGTCCGGACTACTCCTCATAAACTACAGGTGCAATTTCATCCAAACTTTACAGGAATGATCAGTACCAAGTCTAGTTGTGCATATTGGCAGCATTTTCCGGTTCAATGATTTTTGTTTGAGTTATAGCCCTTTAATAATTTTATTTTTAAAGTTTGTCCGGACTTCTTCTCTTTATATACCACTAATGCGATTTCAACGAAACTTTACAGGATTGATCTGTAGCTCAAGTCCTTGCGCATATTGCACGGGTTTTCTGGTTGAATGATTTTTGACTGAGTTATGGCCCTTTGATAAAAAGGTGTTTTTTTTCTGTGTGTTGCCAGATACGCAAAAGCTTGTCCGGACTACTCCTCATAAACTACTGGTGCAATTTTATCCAAACTTTACAGGAATGATCAGTACCAAGTCTAGTTGTGCACTGTCCGTCTGTCTGTCCGTCTGTCACAAAATTTGTCCCAACATGAAATTGGCCATCATGAGGCGACACATGTGATTACTGATCGCTCTTGTTAAATTTCAAAGTACTGATTTAACTTGTATCTGAATGGTTTCATGAAAATAGTAAAAGTAACTTCCAGGTTTATTTCATTTACACTTTATTTTGTTGTAAATATCTTGTAGTCAAAAACTACGTTTCACAAATGTTAATGAAACAAAATGTTGCATATGCATAAAAAAATTTATACATTAACAGCTTAAAAACATTTTAAATTCCTGTTAAGAACATTTTTAGCAGGTTGTTCCTATGTAAGGCACATCTTTTGGATTTGGATATAATTGTCTGACTTGATGAAGGACACATACAGCATTCCAGTGAAAAAAAAAGAAAAACAACCGACTTCAAAAATAATAATGTCTTTAATTAATCTGTGAGTTATATAAAACATCCATTAAACCTCTCCTGTGTAAAATCAGCTGTTTTTGTTTACATTCTCTCTGCAGGTTAACACTGCATGCTATTTATAGTTCAGGGTTTATAACAGACAGTTTTACATCACTGATTAGTCACACCCACAAATACTCGCTGCCGCGGCAGCGAATGTTGCCCCTTTAATAACAAGCCTTTGTACCTTTTCGGTCAATTTTATGTATTCATAGGTAAGCATTATTATACTAAAAAAAACACCCTTGTGACAACTTTTTGGAATAGTCAATAGCCTTACTGTCCTCCGACAGTTCTTGTTATATGTTGTTCTCCCCTCAAAACCTTTTAATTTCAAGAATAAATTTGACGAAATGTCAGTGAAATGTGTTTCTTCCTAGTATAATGTGATAGCCGGGAAGATGATTGATACAACATGGTCACATGTCACAATAGTGGTTGGAAAAATCTCAGGATCCATTTTGCCGTGGCTTGTATTTAAATATGCATTTATGGTTTGGCTCACCAGGTATCAAGTCCGCATATTTCCAGTACCATCAAGTGGTACTAAAAATAACCCAGACGAAAGAATACTTTGTAGTATAATAAAAGAAGGTATATCCCAGTGAATTAATCAAAGGGCTGCAGCTCTATGGTATTTTCTGATCTTTGCAATCTAAATCATACTGACTATCTGTATGTACTTTCCTGTATAAGTTTATTTTTATATACTATAATTCATCTTACGCAGCGACAGCGTTTTGATTTTCTTCTATAACATTTTGAGATTTACATATGGAATTTTGCATGAAAAAAAAAGTTATACATATGAACCTTGAATAAAAACGAATACATTATGTAATTCTAAATTGAGAATTTCCATTTCGTGTTTGTAATCCTTATTAATTTCGAGGTATTTTGTTCACGATAAACGTGTTGTTTAACACTGATGAAAATAATTTATCGAAAATCTTCTCGCCAAAACAGTCCGACATGTATATATTGCAGTACGTATATGTTAGTGTTCATCCGTGCTGTTCTACAGAAATTATAAAATTCGACGGGAGCGATAGCGACAGGAGAATGTTTCTAATTTCTGTAGAATAGCACGGATGAATACTAACATACAGTAGAATCCCTACTAAAGACCACCTCGGATTTAAGACCACCCCGCTTTTAAGACCAATTTTTAAAAGAACGGAATTTTCTGTTCTTTATGTCAATGGTTACATGATCCAGAATTAAGACCACCTCACTTATCCACATTTAAGACCACCAAATTCAGTCCCAATTCCTTATTTTGTTCTTTATTTGACCTCACTATTGAGACCACTGATATTAAAATCAACACCTTCCTAGATCTTAAATGTGTTATTATCTGCTTGATTGCTCTTAGGCATGACACTTGATTACACAAGGTGTCAAAAGCTGTTATTTATGGGATATTTAATGAAAAAAGGTGAGAATGTTAATTTCATAGTGGTTTAATGTTGCTTTATGCACATTTGTTTTGTGAAGAAATAAAGTCTGATATTATATGTGAATTATGTACCTCATACAATAATTATTATTCAAAACAGAACAAAGAAAATTTTATATTAAATTTCTTCAGAAATATGTTTTCTCATTATAAAATATATACTTTTATAATGTATTTGCAGGTTAAGATACATGTTGTTTGTTCATACAAAATGACTAAAATAGGCCCTGGTCATATCGTGTGTAAGCAATGATAAGAATATCCACAATTAAGACCACCCCGCAATTAAGACCACTTCGGTCCAGTCCCGATGGTGGTCTTAATTGAGGGTTTTTACTGTATTTAGTGTCAAACTTTATTTGGCCTCATTATCATTCGCTTTATTACGTCACTATGCGGTTCTGTGAAGTACTATGAAAAATAGAAGTCGACTATTGACGGAATTCGATATAGTAGGCCTATCGACTTTTGTTCTTCTATGAAAATTAACGCACAGACATACAGCGTTTTCATTGGATGACAAATAAAGTCGGACACTAATCGACAGTCAGATTTATTTGTGTACTACGCTCTGGAGTATTCGGTAATCGGCATAGCTAAAAATAGCATTTTCATTGATTAAAATGATATTGATGATAATCCGAAGCTTTACGGAAATAGCCGAACATTTTTCATTGGGTAAAAAAGATATTCATCCACGAAATTTGTGATTGTAACCTCATATTAGACTAATCTAAACTTTTAATGCACTGTAATTCGTTAAATGCCTACATTAAAAATTATTCTTTCTTTTAAATTGCTGGTTTTTAAGCAGTTTTGAGTGAGAACTACTTTGCGTTGTTAGGAATGTTAGGAAATTTTGTGTTAGACCGTGGATGTTAGCTATGTATTTACTGATCTTACGATCAGAAAATACAAAAATGCATCGTCTGAGCAAAAACATTAAAATACAAACATTTCAAGGCAATATTTCAATTTCTTTTAGATGTTTTTCAGAAAACTTTTTAAATAATACTAAGAAGGTGATTTTCAATTATCTTCTGTAGGCATGATGCTTTATAATCAGTTTTGATTACATTTACTAGGATACATTTTAAATATAATTTGTTATTTATTCCAACAATATTATTTCTATAATTTTCCTTTGAATCCCTTTTTAATATTAAAAATATTCCAATGGATTAAGGTTATCTATAGGGACATCATTTTGTCAAAGACTTTTTTCTCTGCATCTCTTCTTAAATAGTCTTACTTTTGCATCACTGCAATTTGTTTCCTAATTGAATGATTAAAATTGTCATTGGTCTAATTCAAATTGTCCAATAAGATAGAGACTGGCTTGCTTATAATAGAGGATTTTGAATTAATTAATGCATGTTTTTTCCGTTAATCTATATCTGGGTGCACAGTTTTTAAGCAAGAATACAGTTTATAAAAATTATATTCCAGGATGGTGTTTAAATTTGAACTTCGATATTTGTAATTCAAGCGAATGTTCCATCTGTGTAAAAAATGATGAATTTCAATTTTAGATGGTGCTACTTCACGCCCTACAGTGAGATGGAATGATGATACGTCGTCATTATCGTGACCGAGAGGAAGAATTCATGTCAAGATATCATCGTGTGATAGGAGCCAACGAAGATCATTCTGTGTTTAAAACAAATCTTCCAGGTAAATTATGTTTTACATGGTAACATCAGTCCTAAGAATGGAGAATATTAGGATGATATTTGAAATATGACTCTGATAATGTTGTGTTGTTTATAATCTGCAAAGTTTCTATAGAATTATATTAATTTTAGTATGAATGTTATAAAGTGTTGGTTAGTTTCAAGGGGAGAATATTTTGTACATCTATTTTGGTTTGCTTGTGACTTGGTTCAAGTTATGCTTTGTTACAGTGAATTCTTATATGGAAACTATAAAGCTAAAATAGGAAAGGTCATAAGCTGCATCAATATTCCCTCACATTCCTTAAATAATTGATATACAGAAATAGAGTGCATGTAAGAATTATATATTTACAGGTTCCCAGCCTCAGACAAGGCAACCTGATGTTGGGATTACAGCAGGGAACCAGCCCAAGTTAATCTCAGGAACCAATGATATTGGTGAAGATACAACGATAACAGAGACCTCTACCTTTAGTGAGATTACGTTAACGGACGATTCTGATGAGGAAGAATTGCAAGGCAGGAAAGTAGGTGTGAGCTATACCTTAACAGGACTTCATATATAATATCTTATGTGATAGACATTGTGCTATTCTGTGCTAGATTGATGTGACTATGTGACCAGTCAAATATCATATCCTAGTTCTATGAAGGTGCCAGCATTTACCTGGTTTTGTCTTAGAGAGGGAGGCATACAATGTAATCCTTTGTCCATGTTTGTTTTTTAGTTTGTTTGTTTGTTTCATTTTACGCTTTTTTCCAACAGTCATATAGGCGGGTAGTTTCCTAACCGTTCCTGGAGAGTTACACCAGTACTAGACTACCTTCCTCCGCGCTAAACTACCAAAGCATCTCCTGGGGATCGAACCCACACCAGAGAGGGTACTGGATTAGTAGTCATCGACTCTAACCCCTCGACAACAGAGGCTTGTAAGGGTGTTAGTAAACTAAAGTGTTAGTTACTGACCAACCTTTGGAAAAGAAACTAGTTAATATCAAGGTGCCAGCATTTGCCTAGGGTGCCAGAATAAAAATATTATGCCTGAATTATGTCTGAATATTCTAAAGGTACTAGAATCATGGGGGTGGAACTGTTACACGAGGGATGGAGTTCTTATGTTAACTTGTCAGGAGTTCTTGTGATAATTGTTACAGGGTTTGTCGGAAAACTTTTGTATATACTACAAAAACACCATCAAAAATGCTAATTGACCTGGTTGCACAGGTGCAAACCTGGGTTATAGTATGCTAAATTTCGGGCAGCGGGCTGGCGGGGAAAAACTTTTCGTAAAAATTTTCTCAGCAACTACTTATCACAGCCTCTTGATATTTGGCATACAGCATTGACACATGGTCCCACATCCTAGGATTCGATTTCAGGTCTGTCCCTTGTCCACTTTCTGTTTATCGATTTCAGGTCTTTGACTCATTCCTCTCCTGTTTACAGACTTAGTTAATTTTTCAACATTAATGGTCAATGGTACGAAATTTTTGTAACAGTTTTCTCAGCAACTACTTGTCAGATACCTCTTGATATTTAGCATACAGCATTGACACCTGGTCCCATATGGAGGGATTGGATTGCAGGTCTGTCGCTCATCCACTTCCTGTATACAGAGTTAGTTATATTTTCGACATTAATAGTCATTGGTAGGAAATTTTCTTAACAGTTTTCTCAGCAACTACTTGTCACAGCCTCTTGATATTTGGCATACAGCATAGAAACATGGTCCCATACTGTGGGAGTCAATTTCAGGTCTGTCGCACACCCACTATCTGTTTGCCAACATAGTTAAATTTTTAACATTAATGGTCGGTGGTAAATTTTTTCATAACATCACAGCATCATGATATTTGGTATACAAATGCAACCCGCCTTTTATGTCTTTGACCCATTTTTTCTCCTTTAAAAAGTGAGTTTTAGGTGCTTAATTAAAGTTTAATGATTAAGCTTGCCTAACATCTTGTTTTATGTGTCAAAAATAATTCGTAGTGAATTTTTCATTGTCTCTTGTTTAAAATCTGGTAGTTTTTAACTTTTTAGTAAAATTTCCAAATTATTTGCTGATTCGAACGTATTATATAACCTTTTTATCTCTGGTCTTTATCCTTGCCAAACATAACCTAATTATAAAGCAAAATTGCAAACATGAAGCCCCGGCTAACAAATTTCTGTTGTTAGTTGGTGGTTTTCTTAATAAAAATAACATTATTGAGTGTATGTGGGTTGTATGGACATGTGCTGTCTTTCCATTTTACTGATGGATTGGAAAATAAAACAAATGTTAATATAACATCATTTCTAAAAAGAATTGTTGTTCTTAACACCTCACCTGCTGAAACCAAAAGCGATTACTCTTTGCCACCAGTTTAGAACCAGGCCACTCTGCATTCCTGTGCTGTCTAGCCGGGCTTTATACTGTTTACTTTTGCCATTCAATCTCTACAGTTTTGTGTGACATCAAAAATGAAAAGAAAATCTGATATTTGAGTAATTTAGTGATTTGCTTTATAGTCTTTTGTTCATTACATGAGATCATGATTTTTCTTTTAGATTGGTACGGGTCTGCGGAAGGCGGAGTTTCATGCTGGAAGTTCCACCCTTACGGAATTCACTTATAAGTCACTTATAGGCTATTTTATATGTAGATTATACTTCACTTAGTCAATTCACCTATAAGTCAAGTATATGTATTTTAAATGCAAATTAGATGTAAGTGCAGTATATGTCTGGCATTTTGACATATAAGTGAAGTATAAGTTATATATAAGTCACAAATGTGTGACATGTAAGTCAAAGATATGCTCAACTTATAAGTAACATATAAGTGACTTATATGTTACATATAAGTGACTTATATGTTACATATAAGTGACTTAATATAAGTCACTTATAAGTAACATATAAGTCACATGTAAGTCGCATATATGTTGCTTGATGTCAAAAAAGCTTGAAATAAAATAAAAGTTTAGTAATTTAATTTCAAAAATGTTTATTAATTTATATTCATAGTCATATAAATGAGCAAAATACAAAATTCAACATACATATCCTTCAGTTCAATCATCTTACATTCACTATAACAAAAACAAAATAATTATTTCTAGCAGCAAGTTTTTGTTTTTTACTGGTTTTCTTGGAATCAAACACTTTATTTATACAATTATGTTGCTGGAAGTCTGTCGGTGAGGAACTGTTCAAATCATAAATTTGATCAAATATTTCTGATTATTCAAACTACTATTTCTTTTATTGATGTCTGTTTCAGTGCTCTGCTTCTATTTCCTCGGAGAACTTCATGTGGCTGTGTTCACCTTTAAAGATAAAATTCATAATTAATTAAAAAAGATGTGGAATAAATTCAGACCATTGTATATGCAGTTATATTTCATATTTTTTATATCATCAAACTATATTAGCTATTTATGCTTATGCATATACAAATATACTAAGTTACACATTATCTCATTTTAGTGCACAAGTCAACAGTGTTGTTTAAGAATTGCTAAAAGTCTCTATAAGAATTGATTAACTGCACTATTTGCAACAACATTTATTATGCTCTTTTCTGTGAAAGATTTAAAGCAGTAAGTATAGAGATTAAAAAAATATACCTTTTCAGGCTCAATACTGCATATCATTATTCACCTGGCATCTCAAAGTAAGAACTGGTCCCACTAGCCTGCAATGTATGTAAAATGTAATATCAGATTTCTCCATTGAAAACAACAATAAAATGATAAATGATTATGATAACCCTGTCTTATTCAGCTGCATAAAACTACTGATTGTACAATTTAGTTCTAAAAATTCAATTAATTTAACTATTAAATCTAGATTTAAATCAATTACAAGTATTAGTAAATCTAATGTATGAAGCTTAGAAATAAAAACAGCCTTGATCTCTCAAGTTACAAATTTTAGTTTGCTGCCATCTTACTTTGATTGTTTAATACAAATGTATATAACCTGTATCAATTCTGCATAAATGTAACTCAAAGGTATTTACCTGATTTTGTTGTATATCTTCTTGTCCAATGTGATTCTTCTTGTTATTCTTATTTACCATAACTATACTTAAACATCTTAAACAAAACAATATCTCTAAAATTCCTAAAACATCAAGTAGATTCTCTGTGATTTCCACCAGCTTGCTAACCTATATGTTTCAGACCCTGGGCAGGTCCAATGTTATGTAAAACAGGGTAAATCAAAAAATCAAAGCACTCATCAGTTCTATCTTACAATCATTGAATGTGAAAAAAAAATCAAATAAGTAATAGATATGTAAAGTTTAAAAATCATTATACATTTTTGAAAAAGAAAATGCAATGTCCTTTTTTACAAATTCAGGATAGGAAATGTTATCTTTCCCCAAAATAATCACATGGAACAGTCTGATTTGTAGGAATGACCAGTCAAAAAATTAGTCATGCACATATGGTGGCAAAGGCAGGTGGCCAGTTTTATCAAACTTCTGATCTATGTGGTGTATCAGTGGATGTAGAAAATATAAGCAATCTTCAGGCATATTTGTTCCTTGATTTTATATAGATTAAAAGGGCAATATAAACTGTTTATTTCAAGCACTGTTTTTTTTTATTGTTTAAATGTCTAAAAAAAATAACACTTGTATATTAAAAAAAATACACCTCTTTTTCTTGTTAGAATATCTTACTTCCCCGAAATTAGGTCTGTAAGAAGTACAGTTGTTAAAAACATATAGATTTCAATGTCTGTTTCAAGTTAGAAAAAAAACAAGAGTAGAATTATGCCTTGGGTGACTTTTATGTGAAATATTTTCCCTGTGAGAAGAAATGACATGGAATTTCATTTCTGTCCATGGTAGCCTAGAAATCACTGATTGAATGCCATTTCTGTCCCAATTCCGCACAGAATATGTACCAAATTTTTTTACAGGTAATATAATTAATTGATTATCATTTTTCCTATTATCTTATTTAAAAACCCCCAGCTGTGTTCAAAAATTAATATGCAACATTTAAAAAAAATCTTAATTGTTTGTGATTAAGGTCTAAGATTATAGTATTTTAAATTCTGAGTATTTTGATACCCATTGTGTTAAAGCAAAGAATTACACATCAACTTCAATAAATTTTATCAATTTTTCTCATGTTTTTGTACTTAGTAATTTTTTCAGCTTTGCTCAGTAATAAAAAGTCTCGCAAAAGTTTCTAAGTTTTCACTTATATCTAACATAGAAACTGGTTACTTCAAACTTCACCAGTATAAGGCACTTATAGGTGACTTGTATGTGACTTATATGTTGGGGAAAAAATGGCCAAAAGTGACTTATATGTAGCATATACCTATAACTGACTTAGACAGGTTTTTAGGTGTTTTATAAGTGACTTATATGTAACTTATAGTTCTCTTATAGGTCAAGTATAAGTTGCATATAAGAAACATATAAGTCACTTAAAGTCATTTTGGTAAGGGCAGTCAGACGGTCCTTAGTAAAGGTACCACACAACTCAATATCCCTCGTCCCACCCACCCTGCTACCAACAAGGCCAGTAACTCTTGGGACGATTCTCGCACAGATGAATTTAATGTGTTCAGTATTTATTCTCGTAGACAAGAACGACGTAAGTTTTACTGTTTCTTTGTACATATAAAGGATCTTACATGCCATGTTATATCTCATTGATTTATTTTAAACAAGTCTATGAGCAATTATCTTGCTTCTCTATTACATTTCTTGGACAAGACATTTTTGTACAAGTTAGAAATCACGGTGGAAATAATAAATAAATAACTATATCTATCATCCAAGGTTTCGAGGGGTCAAACCTCTCTTAATCACGGAGTTTGCTGTTTATTTTATAAATCACATATTTATAAATTCTCCTTTTTTCTAGCACTGGTATTCATAATATTGGACAAGTTAACAACATTTTATAGGTTACTTTGATACAAAAGTAATAGATAAATGTATAATGGTTAAAGTGACGGGAATATCTTTCATCAGTATTTAAACATTTTAAAATGTACCATTTGGATATTCATATCAAATATTTCTTTAGAAAAAAAGTAATTTAGTATGAACATACATGTATTTTCTTGTATGAGGTCAATATTTTGTTCAAGAATGCTATCTAATCCGGGTTGTTCAAAAAGTAATAGGACTGCAGCTCTGCTGTTCACATTTCTTAATTTATGTACACAGTTTTACAAAAGATAAGTAACTTTAGGCCTAAAAATTCTTTGGTCAGAACTGATTAATTAGACCTGATGCAGATATCAAATATCCTGGACAGTACATGGACTGTTTACTGTTGCTCCTTTTGTAGTGCTAACTGCATTTGCAATTGATGTTGTTAATGTTACATCAATTTTTTGCTTTCATCCTTGCCCTTTCCTGTTTGTGATCTCGCATTCACTGCCTTTAAATTACTTAAATTACTTTTGCCAGCTGAAAAAAGTGTTTTGGTGACTGATTAATTGTCCTGTGATAATTTAATTATTTTATATGTATCTCACTGAGCATTGCCAGTATGTTGGCCAAACTTAACTCTAGCACAAAATTTCTGTTTTTTTTAATAAACATCATATTACATTTAATGCTATGAAAACTACTGTTAAAACTTTATAATTTAGTCATATCATATCTGAATGACATCAAATTTGGACATTATATCCCTTGAATATAATAAAACCCGTTTGTGGAATATATGGAGAAAATAAACGATAATATATTTTGAATAAATTAAAAGTACAACTTAGCTTCAATGACTTTTAGCTCGACTACTTGATAAGAATAAGTAGAGCTATTGTAGTCACCCGAGCGTCAGCGTAACCACTTATGTTAAAGTTTTTGTAATACGTCAAATATTTTCAAAGTCAATGACATATGGCTTTGAAACTTTGCACCTTTGTTCACCATCATGACCCCAACCTGTAGACAAGTGGAGTAACTATATCAAGCATTTTGACAGAGTTATGCCCCTTTTTTCAATTTAGAATTTTTGTTAAAGTTTTGTAATACCTCATTATATTTTCAAAGTCCATTGACATATGGCTTTAAAACTTTGCATACTTGTTCTTTATCATGACCACAACCTGCAGAGAGGAGGAGGTAACTCTATCAAGTATTTTAACAGAGTTATGCCCCTTTTTCAACTTAGAATTTACATTTAAGTTTGCATACCACCTCAGATATTTTCATATTCTATTGACATCTGGCTTTGAAACAAGTTGAAATTTTTATACTCTTCTTTGAGAGCATAATAGGACTCTCTCCTGAAGGCCTAAAAACTTA